ACTGTAATTCATTTCTCTCCTTGTTTTTTCTTCCAATTCCCCTCACAACCTCTTTTATGTAGTTTTTTATAACAATGAGGGTCTCTTTCCATTTCCATGGGTTAGTCTCTGTGTCCTCTATTCTGTACCATTGGTCTACCCGTCTGTTTTGGTGCCAATACCATGCTGTTTTTGTCACTGTTGGTCTGCAGTATGGTTTAAGGTATGGCATAGTGATGTTACCTGCTTCACTCTTTTTGCTAAGGATTCCTTTGGCTATTCTGGGTCTTTTATTTTTCCAGATGAATTTCATGACTGCTTTTTCTATTTCTTTGAGGAATGTCATTGGGATTTTGATTGGAATTGCATGAAATATGTATGGTGCTTTTGGTAGTATGGTCATTTTGATAATGTTAATTCTGTCTATCCAAGAGCAAGGTAGATCTTTACATCTTTTGAGGTCTTCTTTGACTTCTTTCTTTAGGGTTCATATGTAGATCTTTCACCTCTTTCCTTAAGTTGATTCCCAAGTATTTTATTTTATTGAGGCTATTGCAAATGGGGTAGTTGTCCTCGTTTCCCTTTCTGAGGATTTGTCACTGATATTCAGAAATGCCTTTGCTTGATGGGGTTGGTTTTATATCCTACTACTTTATTGAATTCATTTACTAGTTCTAGAAGTTTTCTGGTGGAACCTTTAGGGTCTTCTAAGTATAAAACCATATCATCAGCAAATAGACCAATTTGAGTTCTTCTTTTCCTAGGGGTATCCCTTTAATTTCTTTTGTCTAATTGCTCTGGCCAGTGTTTCAAGAACTGTTAAATAGAAGTGGTGAAAGAGGGCATCCCTGTCTTTTTCCAGTTTTTAGAGGGAATGCCTTCAATTTTTCTCCATTTAGAATGACATTGGTCTGAGGCTTAGCATACATAGCCTTTATGATGTTGAGATATATTCCTGTTAGCCCTAATTTTTCTAGTGTTTTGAACATTAAGGGATGCTGTATATTGTCAAATGCTTTTTCTGCATCTGTTGAGATGACGATATGATTCTTATCTTTAAGTCTATTGATGTGGTTAATTACATTTAATTGATTTCCATATATTGAACCAATCTTGCATCCCTGGGATGAATCCCACTTGATTGTGGTGCATGATCTTTTTGATATGTTTTTGTATTCAATTTGCCAGAATTTTATTGAGAATTTTTGCATCTAAAGTTTTGTTTTGTTTTGTTTGTGTGTCTTTGCCTGGTTTTGGAATCAGGGTGATATTGGCCCCATAGAATGAGTTTGGAAGCACTCTCTCTTTTTATATTTCCTGAAATAAATTAAAGACCATTGGTATTAGTTCTTCTTTAAAGGTCTTGTAGAACTTGCCTGTGTATTCATCCAGTCCTGGGCTTTTCTTGGTTGGTAGACTTGATGGCGCCTTCTATTTTGTCACTTAAAATTGATCTGTTTAAATTGTGTATATCACCCTGATTCAATTTGGGCAAATTACATGACTTAATTTGTCGATGCCTTTGATATTTTCTAAACTTCGAGTACAAATTATCTTCTGTATTTCTGTAGTGTCTTTTGTGATATTTCCTTTTTCATCACGTATTACAGTAATTTGAGTTTTCTCTCTCCTTCTTTTAGTTAGCATGGCTGAGGGTATGTCAATTTTATTTATTTTTTCAAAGAACCAACTTTTTGTTCTATTAATTTTTTAAAAAATTATTTCAATTTCATTGATTTCAGCTCTGATTTTAATTATTTCCTGTCTTCTGCTTTTGGTGTTGATTTGTTCTTCTTTTTCTAGGGCTTTGAGATATTTCTTCTTTTAAGGAATAAACTCCATGCAATGAACTTTCCTCTTAAAACTGCTTTCATAGTATCCCAGAGATTTTGATATGCTGTATCTGTGTTCTCATTCAACTCTAAACATTTTTTAATCTCCTCCTTGATGTCTTCTGAAACTCATTGTTCATTCAGTATTTAGTCTCCATGTTGTTGGAGTGGCTTTTATTTCTTATTTTATCTTTGATTTCTAATTTTGTTCCATTATGATCTGATAGAATGAAGGATAATATCTCTACTTTTTTATATTTGCTAAGAGTTACTTTGTGGCATAGTATATGTTCTATTTTAGAGAAGAATCCATGTGCTGCTGAGAAGAAAGTGTATTCTCTCCTTGAAGGATGAAATATTCTATATATGTCAGTTAAACCTAAGTTATTGATTGTATTATTGAGTTCTATAGTTTCTTTGTTTAGCTTTTGTTTGGGAGATCTATATAGTGATGAAAGAGATGTGTTTAAGTCACCCAAAATTATTGTTTTGTGGTCTGTTTGACTCTTGAACTTGAGAAGAGTTTGTTTAATGAATGTAGATGCTTCATTGTTTGGGGCATGTATATTTATAATTGTTAAGTCTTGTTGGTGTATGGTTCCCTTGAACAATATATAGTGTTCTTTTTTAAACTTTTTGATTGACTTTAGTTTGAAGTCTACTTTATTTGACATGAGGATGGAAACACCTGCTTGCTTCCACAGTCCATATGAGTGATATGATTTTTTCTAACCCATCACCTTCAGTCTGTGGATGTCTTTTTCTGTGAGTCTCTTGGAGGCAGCATTTTTTTAATCCAATCTGCTAGTTTGTCTTTTGGTTGGTAGGTTTAGGCCATTAGCACTCAGGGTTATTATTGAGACATGATTTGTATTCCCAGCCATTTTTGTTTATTTTTGGTATTTAACACGACTTGGTTTCTCCTCTGATTAGATTTTTCTTTAGTATAATACGTCTCTCTGCTGATTTTCATCATTGTTTTTCATTTCTTCTTCTTAGAATATTTTGCTGAGGATGTTCTGTATTGCAGGTTTTCTAGTTGTAAATTCTTTTAACTTTTGTTAGTTATGGTAGGTTTTTATTTCATCATCAAATTTAAAGCTTAGTTTTGCTGGATATTAGATTCTTGGTTGGCATCCATTTTCTTTCAGAGCTTGGTATATGTTGTTCCATGATATCCTGGCTTTGAGGGTCTGGGTTGAAAAATCTGCTGAGATACGAATTGGTCTCCCCCATATGTGATCTGATTCCTCTCTCTTGCGGCTTTTAAGATTCTATCCTTATTCTGTATGCTAGGCATTTTCATTATAATGTGCCTTGGTGTAGATCTTTTGTAATTTTGTACATTTAATGTTCTGTAAGCATCTTGTATTTGGTTTCCCAATTTGTTCTTCATACTTGGGAAATTTTCTGATATTATCTCATGGGAGAGATTGTGTATTCCTTTGGTTTGAAACTTTATGCTTTCCTCTAACCCAATAACTCTTAGATTTGGTCTTTTGATGCTGTCCCATAATTCTTGGATGTTCTGTTCTTGGTTTCTTACCATCTTCACCATGTGATCAACTTGATTTTTCAGATTGTATACTTTTTCTTCATTATCTGACGTTCTTTCTTCTAAGTTGTCTAGTCTGTTGGTTATGCATTCTATTGAGTTTTTTATTTGATTTATTGTGTCTTTCATTTCAAGGATTTCTGACTGCTGATTGTCAGAGTCTGTCTCTCTCAAAATAATCTTTTGCTACCTATATTTGCTCTCTTATCTCTTTGTTGAAGTGATCAACTTTTGCCTGTATTTGCTCATGTAGGTCATTCCTTAATGCATAGATCATTTCAATTATGAACCTTCTGAACTCCTTCTCTGACATTTCATCAACTTTGCCGTCCATGGGTTCTATTATTACAGTATGCTGGTTTGTTTGGCGCACTTTCCTCCCTTGTTTTTTCATGTTATCTATTTGTCTTCCTTTCTTGCAGTGTAGATCAGAGGTATTACAGTTTGTTTCCTATATTCTTGTAGTAACCGTGCAGATTGTTTGTACCTTGATGTTGGGCTTCCAGACCCTGCTGGTGTCCCTCAATGTATGCTACTGCATCTAAAGGTTGTGGCGGCAATAGTCGAGATAATAGTTTAAGGTGCCCCAAGGTGGAAGCAATGTCTTACCGAGATGGGGCTGAAAGGGATGGGCCCCACACTGCTTTGGGATGCCTGCTCTGAGATGCAGCTGCTTCTATGCCCTGTCTGCTGTCAAAAGGTTAGGAGCTATTGTGTGGGGAAAGCTATGGCCATGACTGCAGTGTTCCAAGATGGAAGTGGCTTAGGCTTAGGCTCCCATGAAGAGGGGGATGAACTCGGACCAACCCTGGACCTGGGCCCTGCACAAATCTGTGTGGACAGATCTGGGCCTGGCCTGGGCTCCCATGGTAATCTGCTGATCAGAAGAGGCAGTCCTGTGCCAGAGGCTGGACTCTGGTGGGTGTCTGCCCCATGGGTGGAGGGGTGGACTCAGGCCTACTGTGAGCCTGGGTCCAGCACCACAGGCCAGTGTGGATAGATCTGGGCCATTGGGCTTGACCTCCCTCAGTAGTCTGCTGGTCAGAAGGGTGGGGGATTGGTCCTGTGCCGGAGGCTAGGCTCTGGCAGGTGTCTACCCCACAGGTAGAGGGGTAGAGGAGGGCCTACTGTGAGCCTGGGTCCCGCATGGGCTGGAGTGGGCTGTCTGGGCGTGGCATGGGCTGCCACAGTAGTCTGCTGGTCAGAAGAGGTGGTCCTGTGTCAGAGCCTCAGGCGGGTATCTGCTCTACAGGTGGAGGGGTGGACCTGGGCCTACTGTGAGCCTGGGTCCTGCACAGGCCGGTATGGTTGGCTCCCTACTTTTGATTTTCATTTAGGCTAGTAAAATTAATTTTTTCTATTATTAGTATAGCAAAATGATATTGAAACTTTTATCTTTTTTTTTTTTTTTGTCTTTGTCAGGGTCTGAGAGAGACGAAACATCCATATACCTTTGTGTCAAAGGAGGGTTTTAGAGAATTACTTTTGGTCAAAGGAGCTCCTGAAAAGGCTATTCCTTTGCTACCTAGACTAATTCCTGTGCTAAAGGCAGCTCTGGTATGTTGTCACTTACTTCCTTGTGCTTTTAATTTAAAAATCACATGATAGAAAAGAGAAAACTCTAACATAGAATATTTTTTATTCTACTTCTGTATTATATGCAAAGTAGTCCTTAATCTGTGATTTTGCTGTATGTACAAAATGAGGCCACTGTTATTCAAGGCCAGATGATTATGAAGACGCCTTTACAAGATGTACTAACTGTGTACACAGGGAAATTTTGAGTAATTAGAGGAAGTAGTGAACCTCAAATTAGTCTTTCTGTAAGCTAGATGTATTTTAGCTAATGATTTAGTTATGATGATAATTTTGGTTTTTGCTTCTAGAAGTCCTGTATTAAAGTTATTTTTGAAATTTTGTTTTTTATTATTCTCTTTTAATTTTAAATGTTTAATCTTACTTTTTCCCCCTACCTGTTTGCCCTTTGCTAACCTATCTTCCCTATTTTTTTCCTTCTTTTTGACTCCTGCTTCTGTATCTCCAACTGACCAACCCAAAAGGTCCATTCAGATGATGAAGTGTTTGAAAGAGGATTGTGTGCTTTGGTGCAGTTAAGTGTCATAGTTGGTCCTTCCCTAAATGATCATCTGAAACATCTGCTTACCAGTGTAAGTACTGCAAATATTAGTTATATACACACACACACACACACATATATATATATATATATATATATATATATATCTTTATGATTTAATTTAATTATTTTAATTAATTATATATATCTTTATGATTTAATTTAATTAATTTAATATATATATTTAATTATATATCTTTATGATTTAATTTCTTCAAGTTAATCATTCAAATATCTCAAAACCTTAAAAAACAAAAAGGAACTCATCATCATCCAAACCAGCAAATATTGAGATTGGACTTAGTAATTCATAATGCATTTTACTAGTGGACATTAAAAATGGAAGTGCTTATAAGAGCAGAGTTTAGACAAATAATGAAAAGTAAACAAAATTGAATTTATAAAACTTAATGAACAGTATAATGGTATTACACTTGTGTTAATTAGCTATGAATTATAAGCAGTGCTCATACACCCTGAGCCTTGGTGTCCAGGTTTTCTATTGCAATCTGTCACTTGGGCATGACTGCCTGCCTGCATGTGCATTTAGAGATTAGTCCATAACCTTCACAGAATCTAGCTGATACTTTGACCCAAGGCCTCCACCATAAGTCACATTGTTAGTGTGAACCATCCGATATGGCCAAAAGCCCCCAGGATAATAGAGATACTCCTGTGTGGCAGGACATTCTAAAAGCTTAGAGGTTACCATCCAGGAGGTAGGAAAAAGGACCAAATTTTTTTTAGGTAAGGTTAATTATTATTACACCAGTAGGAAGTCCTGGCTGGGAATATCCACAAAGAGGATGGGGGCCAGGTTCAGTGACACATGGCTGTAATCCCAGCAACTTGGGAGCTAATGCAGAAGGATCCCAAATTCAAGACCAGTCTTAGCAACATAGCAAGGCCCTAAGCAACTTAGCCATTCCCTCAACAAGTGGCACTTACTCAAACTAAAAAGTTTTTTCTCAGCAAAAGAAACAACAAGAGAGGTAAATAGGGAGCCTACATACTGGGAACAAATCTTTACTCCTCACACTTCAGATAGAGCCCTAATATCCAGAGTATACAAAGAACTCAAAAAATTARACAATAAGAWAACAAATAACCCAATCAACAAATGGGCCAAGGAYCTGAACAGACACTTCTCAGAGGAGGACATAYAATCAATCAATAAGTACATGAAAAAATGCTCACCATCTCTAGCAGTCAGAGAAATGCAAATCAAAACCACCCTAAGATACCATCTCACTCCAGTAAGATTGGCAGTCATTATGAAGTCAAACAACAACAAGTGCTGGCGAGGATGTGGGGAAAAGGGAACACTTGTACATTGTTGGTGGGACTGCAAATTGGTGCAGCTAATTTGGAAAGCAGTATGGAGATTTCTTGGAAAGCTGGGAATGGAACCACCATTTGACCCAGCTATTCCCCTAAAGACCTAAAAAGAGCATGCTACAGGGACACTGCTACATCGATGTTCATAGCAGCACAATTCACAATAGCAAGACTGTGGAAGCAACCTAGATGCCCTTCAATAGATGAATGGATAAAAAAAATGTGGCATTTATACACAATGGAGTATTATTCTGCATTAAAAAATGACAAAATCATAGAATTTGGAGGGAAATGGATGGCATTAGAGCAGATTATGCTAAGTGAAGCTAGCCAATCCCTAAAAAACAAATGCCAAATGTCTTCTTTGATATAAGGAGAGTAACTAAGAACAGAGTAGGGAGGAAGAGCATGAGAAGAAGATTAACATTAAACAGGGATGAGAGGTGGGAGGGAAAGGGAGAAAGAAGGGAAGTTGCATGGAAATGGAAGGAGACCCTCAGGGTTATGCAAAATTACATACAAGAGGAAGTGAGGGGAAAGGGAAAAATAATACAAGGGGGAGAAATGAATTACATTAGAGGGGGTAGAGAGAGAAGAGGGGAGGGGAGGGGAGGGGAGGGGGGATAGTAGAGGATAGGAAAGGCAGCAGAATACAACAGACACGAGTATGGCAATATGTAAATCAATGGAAGTGTAACCGATGTGATTCTGCAACTTGTATTTGGGGTATAAATGGGAGTTCATAACCCACTTGAATCAAAGTATGAAATATGATATATCAAGAACTATGTAATGTTTTGAACAACCAACAATAAAAAATAAATAAATAAATAAAAAATCCAAGAAGATGGGGGGACTACTGCACAATCTAAAGAAAGTGAACTAAATGACTGTGAATCTCTTTCTTTCAAGTTGCCCTTCTGTTGTTTTTTTTTTTTTTCTTTCTGATAGTGTCTTCTAATCCTGCCTAATCTTTGATGATTGGCTTGGCTGACAGGCCCTTTTATTCAATGTTCAATGGTGTGAAGTATTTCCATTGGGTTACTTTTTATTCCTGAGAGAAGGAAGGACCAGAAGCCAACTTTATATGGCCCGGGCCTTAAAAATGATGTCTATTTTATATAAATCTTAATGAGATGTTTCTTAAAAGAAACCTTGAAATCTCAAATTATGGGATGTTTGTCAAGTTTTATTTATGTCTGTGGCTGAACTGTTACTTTTTCAAATCATTTCAACCTCTGCATCATCTCCCCACCTTCACCCATGGTCTTCAAAAGCTTTCCAAGAGACTAATGGACAAGAAATTCAAAGAGCCAATCACAAGTGCATTACAGAAGCTAGAGCATCATGGTGGAGGTGTAAGTAGAATATTCATTAAGTCATGTTTTTGGTTTGGTTTTAACTTTTAATTCTATTATAAAATTATTTATTAAAATCTATTATCTCATTTCAGCTATAAGTAAACATGTGAAGGTAATATTTTCATTTTAGAGCTCACAGTTTCTGGGACTCAGGTCACAGTTTCTTGGTAACCTAGTGGCTGTTTACTTTTCACTGTGCTCACCAACGCACACCATGAGTTGTAGCTTTAGCTTCTTCCTTTAAAATATTTAAAATGTTTTGTTTTGACCATTGAAAAACTCAGAGGAAAAAAATATCTCATTTACAGAGCTCATGGAAGACAGAGTTTTTCCCCCTCCACTTTTATTTATTTGGTGCTGGGTATTGGCCTCAGGGTTTTGTACATGCTGAGCTGGTACTTTCCCATTGAGCAACACTCCCAGCTCTCTTTTTTCCTTTTAATTTGCCATCTTTTCTGCCTCAGAATTTAAGAATCTATCATAAGGATTGAAATGACACTTCTAAATGACTGGGCAACTGAGTTTCACACATGCGCGCACACACACACACACACATACACACACACATTTTGAATAGTTCAATTGATTATTCTAACTTTTCAAGGTATTCTGTTACTATTTGGTGTCAAATAACTAGGTTAATTGTATTTTCATCATTTGAAAGACGTGTTCACATAATTTAGTTTTAGAAAAATATTTTCATACAACAGTCTTGTTTTGGAGATTACAGTTTATCAGATTTTTAATAATATAACCACATGTAATTATCTTAACAATGAATAACTGTTTCATTTTAGGTACTTTGTAAAGGAATTAATTGTAAGAAAATTTGTAAGATCATAAAAATTGTAAAATGGTGAACAATTTAGTTTAAACTTTTCCTAAATTACCTAATTCCAATGACTTTTTTAATTGATTGTATTCTTTTCATAATGAATGCCTTGATAAAGTTTATGAAGAGCCAGTAATTCCCTAAGCCTACTAGATAATAAATTTCTATGTTGTGATTTAAGACCTAGGCAGAGGATTAGTATTCACACATCTTGTTGAGAACTAGCCATTAATCAATCCAGTGACTCTTAGCAGAAGTGAAATATTCACAATTCTCTGTACCAAGAATTTAAATTCAAAATGTATTTATCCTTTCTCCCCTATGAAATGGAAGTAAATAGATGCTACATACAGATGTCAGCTTTTTAATATGAAATTCTCCCTAACTTTTCCATGTTCTGTGGACCTGTGCAGATTCGGACAGTAAAACGTGTGTGTGTGTGTGTGTGTGTGTGTGTGTGTGTGTGTTTGGTGTGGGGCTATTAGCATGTAAAGAGATTTTAAAACAGCACAGATAGATTGATAGCTGGAATACAGAGGATGTGCTTGACCAATCCCAGGGTCCTAGAGAGAGTAATTCTTTTTTATTGCCACATAATCTCATTTGCTTTGAATGATATTAAGACAGATTTTTTTTTTTAAAAAGAGAGATTTTGTAGTTATAAGGGCTCTAAGGTATTGTTTATTTTCTTCAGATATCTTATACTCTCCTTATGTCCTATGCAAAACTTTAGTAATAATTCATGTAATTGCAGTAGAAAAATTTCTACTGAAATTGCGTATCAAGGACTTTCTCTTTGCTTCATTAGTATCGAGCTTGCCTTTGATACTTTGCAATTCTTCATGAACTTAATGAATCATGTTTCTCCTCTAAGAATTTCAAAACTTATTAAGTTTTTTTAAATGTCAAAAATTAGTCTTTTTAAAAAGATTCTTCTCTATTACAGTTTGACTTTTCTTAGGGTCTCTGTATATTATAATGATGTGAAGATCCACCTTCTGGAGAAATAAATAAAACATGTTACAGACAATGAGTTACTTCTTGTAAATAATATTTTTGCTACCTGCCTTAAATTGTGATGAGTTCATTCCTAGCCTAATTTAATTTTCTTAGTTACATGCTTATTTGTTGTAGGAAAGCCATATACTTAAACATACCCTGATCTTTCTTTATTGATTATATAAGAGCTTACTTCATGACAGGTACTCTTCTGTGTACTTTTAGGCATCAAACTCACCTAATCTTTATTAACAATCCTCAGAGGTAGAGTTTATTGTTAATCAAGATCAAGAAACTGAGGTGCAGAGCCCAGGTTTGACAATGAAATAACTGAGAGAAGCTGAATTTGAATACTGGTCTGATTCCTAACTGCTTCTCCAGATACTTTTTTAAAAAAGGAAGAAACAATCTATATTTTATTTAACTCAGAAAAGAAAAGGTCTACTTTTCATTCCATCATTTTGTTCTTACCCATTTTGTTTTGGATACTTCTTAGGCACACTTCTGCACATGCTGATGCCTGTTAGCGTAGTCTTACATGTTATTCTTCATGGCATAATGATATTGCACTATTTTTCTGTTGGCAGGGAAGCCTTATAATCATCAAATCCAAAATTCCAACATACTGCTCAATATGCTCTTGAATAAGGGAGGCAAGAGAAGTCATCTTCCTGCTGACAGGTCTCATACACTGAACATGGATACCCAGGAAACCTTGTTCAATTCAGTTCATTCTTTTGTAAATCACAACCACCGGTCATTGTTTACTAGGTTAAGATAAGTATATGTACCTGCTGAATCATAGTGAAGGTTACTCATCAACAAAAAGGAATGGCTAATAATGGAAGGTTATTAAAGGAACTTTTGTAATAGTATAACTTTGTGGTTTTTCTTTGTCTTTTTATCATTTGTGTGAAGAACCATTGAGTTTATAAGATCAGGTGTGTTTGTATTTATTTTCTAGTGCTTTTTTAATTTGTAACACTTGCAGTCATTTGTAGCTGTATGTTTATGTTTATAGGGGTTTTTTTGCCATTTCTTAGTTTTTATATATATATCAAGCTATAGAAATTTCAAATATTGGATTAATCCTTGTGAATTCGCTATTTTTTATTTGTAAATAAATATGTATTTTATTATATAGAATGCTTGGAAAAATTACTTTCCAGAGTATTCTGGTTTTAAGAAATTTTTTAAGTGTGTAAATTCTACTGCAGGTTTGTTGTTTATTACAACTTGTTAAAACTACCTAAACTTCAGGTGTTAATTGTATTTAAGTAAATGTTATTTTTGCATTTCATAGCCTGAAAATATTTATGAATATATACAGATATTCAGAAATTAAAATCTTAAAACTTTTATTATTCAGTGACTTTGTTGTGCTTGCTTATGTTTAATAGTTAATTTAGCATTTTATAAGAAATTTTAAGATATAACTTATTGCATGCCTATAATCCCAGCAGCTCAGGAGATGAGGCAGGAGGATTCCAAGTTCAAAGCCAGACTTATCAATGAGTAAGGCCCTAACCAACTTAGTGAGACCCTGTCTCAAAAGAAAAAATATAAATAGGGCTGGGGATGTGACTCAGTGTTTGAGCACTACTGGGTTCAATCCCTGGTACCAGAATAAACAAAAAAGATAAAGTGTACAGATATAGTTCAGAATTTTTGATGTCATAGCTGACTCTAGATCATTCTGGAAAAGGAAGACATAGAGGAAGAGAAATAGAAAACAAGAATGAGACCTGTCTTACTGACAAGAAGAGAGGCTATAATGAACTTGAGTATCTGTACTAAATCCAAAACAAGAATGATACTTACAAAGAATGGAGATGTGAAATCACTGCTTTACATGGAAGCAAATATCTTAAATCTCAGAAGCATCTAAGAATGCCCTTTCCTATTCTGTCCCTCAAACACCTGGATTAACCTCTTTGCAATGCCCACTTCATTTTATTTATTGATTGATTGGTACTGGGAATTGAATCCACCGAGCCCTATCCTCATCCTTTTTTTGTATTTTATTTAGAGGCAGGGTCTCACTGAGTTGATTATGGCCTTCCGAGGTTGCTGAGGCTGGCCTTGAACTTAGGATCCTCTTACCTCAGTTTCCCAAACTGCTGGGATTACAGGAATGCCCCACCACTCCTGGCTGTATTGCCTTTTTTATATAGTCTCACAGCTGCCTGCCCACTGGTCTTGCTTAGATTTTTCTTCTTAGTATTCAACACCAACCAAAGATATGTAATTTAGACAATGCTGTACGATTGTACTAGATTAAAAACATCATTTAAAAATAATGTTAGAATAAAGACTTATAACAGACAGTAGAGTTATAAACACTTTATTTTGCTTTTATTTTTCCTTTTTGAAATACAAAATGTGCACATTGAGTTTACACAAACACGCGATGGCAAATTTCAGTGTACATGTATTGTACTACTCTTAATTTCTACACTGGTGATAGCAGGGCAGCTTTCAACATCCTATCTCTACACCAGAATAGATAACCTGATTTATTGTTGCAAAGACAGTTGCAAATTTCCTCCTCTTATAGCCTCTTGGTCTTTGTGATATTCTACAAAACAGGGAAGATATGTTTATCTATGGTAATGTGGCAATTTTTACAGTTTTGACTTAAGAATCTGAATTGTTGGAGTTTTATGATAAGCTAAATCATAGTACAATCCAAATGAGTTATTCAGCATTTATATTCATTTTATATGAAATCTTGAAATTAGTTCTCAGTATGATAGAATCATTGGTGCTTTCAAAGTGAATTCTGCTTGCTGTTTGTTCCTAATAGCTTTGGGGTCGTCAAGGTTTCTTTGTCCCTGAATGGCTTATAATATAAACATGCTGTGAGGAAGTCAGATGAAAGGAGATGAATCGGCCTTTAATGCGGTTATGGATTACTTGTTATTAAGTATTACTACGTATTGGAGGACAGATATCCTGACCCTTTGCATATGTCTGTAAACATCCTTAGTTTCATACCTTCTTGAACTTCACATAATGACACAATAGAAAATGAACCACCTGTAAGATTGAACAAATCCAAAATTTCATATATATATATATATATATATATATATATATATATATATATATGGCCTTGGCTGTAATATGCATTATGGAAAATTAAGAAATGCTTATTGAAATGCTTATTAAAATAAGTTTTATTAGGCATATGCTGATATCTGATAATAAACTAACTTGTTAGATGTTATAAAAAATGCCAGTAAATTAATGTCTTTAACAGAAGGTGGGAGATACATAGAGATTGGGACTATGTTTTTTTTAGTTTTGGTAGTAATCTTGTTAATGTTACATAAATGGAATTAAGTGAAATTAAATTTGGAAATTAAATGCCGATGCAGATATTTTAGAAAACCATTTAAAATCCTAGGACTGAATACATACAAATGTGTAGCAAAAACACTGGTATTTTAAAATCACTGATATGTGAAAGCCTCAATAATCCCATGGCTAAAGAATCAAAACTATATGCCAAATTCTATTACTTTTGAATATTCATAGAGTTTGAAATGAGTTAGAACATCTCATGGACTCAGTGACATTATGAAAAGGATGCAAATTTATAATGGAAAAAATCAGATCTTCAGGGGATTGTTTTATATTAAAACAAAGCTTGTTTGCATAATATGCCTCAGTGTAAAGCTGAGCAATCTATGCTAAAAGTGGTAGCTCCAACTTAAGTGTGGTAGGGTAGTTCACATTTATCTGTTTGAGGATCTATTTGACAAGTTATATCACATTTTCAAAGAGCTGCATGGAGCGCATTATGTTTTCATCCTGTAAGGGAGAAACAGAGGGATTAAATTCAGCATATCTGCCATGGTAAGTTATCTGTTGTGCCTTTTAAGTATTGCCTCCTCCCACCAACTTCCTATGCCAAAGCTAACATACTGTTTGCAAATGTAAATGACTCTATCCACTTTCCACATGATTCCCAGGAGAGTCTGCTTAATGTATTCTTGAGTGTACCAGGCTCAGATGCTTCATTTAAATCTTGATGTTAATAGAGAATATTTCTCARATGATAATGCCAAAATGGAAACCAGGAGGCACTGGTAATTCAAAGTGAGCAAATGAGAATTTTGACATTTCAGGTAGCCAAATCTCAGAGATTTATACAGACGCAAAGAAACTGTGTGAGTTATGCCCCAGCTTCCTCAAGATTGATGTTTGGGGCATGGGAATCTGGATGGTGGATTAAGAAGAATGAATATTTGCAGTAATTGTGCTTCTGTTTCTGTGTCTTCCAGTTGTGGCTAAATCTGCGTGGCCTTTAGGAGCCTCTAAAAATGAAATGAATTTGTTGGGACAACCCAACAACTATGTGTAACTATAAAACTGCAGTAAAAAAAATTAATTATGCCCCACAAAATAAATAAAATTAAATGAAAAAATGAATAGCCTCAAATCAGAGAAAGGATTGGTTAGGAGAAACCCTTGCACATGGCTGTGTTCAGTTTACCATATTCCTTAGAAATGAGCTATGAGGACAGACTGGACTTTTTAGAAGCTCTTGTCAATTTTGTGAATGTTCTTTGTGAGCTGTTTATAGTCATGGTAAATGGTGGCTGAACCAATAATGGCTTGAAACCAAGTAACGACACCACCATTAGGCAGGATAATGTTACCATGTTAATTATTTTGAAAGACCATTACTTTGAAATATGATCTAAGAAACAGGCATGTATCAGGCAAGATAAAGAACAATAAAAAGTAAGGGAAAAAACCTAAAGCATCAAAAAATTTCTTTGTTTCCATGATTAGTTTAAAAATCCTTAATTGTGGTTCTACCTACACATCAAGTCCAATAATTCTAGTGAGCTAACACTGGATTTCCCAGATGTACAGATTTCTCCTTTGAGAAACTTTCTATTCTGCATTTTTTTGTGACTGAAGACCTTTACTGGGTTCAGTTAAAAAGCCATTTCTTGCTTACATATACCAGAGCAATAATGTTTCTTTTAGAAATAGGTTATAAGCTTGACTTGTGATACATATGTGACTATATTGAAACTCTAATTCTATGGAGATATGATAGATATATACATATAATATAAGTCCAGGAGAAGAGCCATTCAAGTTGCTTATGTTTTATTGTCAATAGTGAATATTCACTGAGGATTTGGTGAACCAAAACACAGTCCTTATATAATTTTTGTAYCTCTAGGGCTTTGTACTTATCCTAACTCAAGGAGGCATTATGTAATGCTGATTGAATGAATGTATAAATTGACACTTGTTTTCAGAGTAGTAGTTCTTTCTCATACATTGTAGGAGTGCTGAGTTAAGAYATTTGATCTTTATATTTTTCTCAGTTCATGTTGCTTACCTGTTATGGAAACAAAAGGGGCAGTTCTTTTCCTGTCAGTACTTACTTTTTGGCAACTTTCGATGAATTCATCTATGGTAACGACCCCATCTTTATTTTTGTCCATTTTCTGTTCAGGAAGAAAAGAAAAAAACATTTTATGCACACTCATTTTATGCACACTCATTTTATGCTACCCTTACACCAGAATCCAATGGCCAAAGTGGATAAAAAGAAAGCTCATCTGCTTGTTTTATGTGGAAGAATTTCATCGTAGCAGGAACTTGAGGTTTCTTAGGATACAAATCATATGCCCAAATCCTTGCATGCTGTGCTCTTTTTTTAGTACAATGTGAAGATCTGGAGTCATTCTGCCCTAGGTAAAAAATCCTGTTTTCTAAACATGACAGCTCAGACAATTTGCTCTACTTTTAGAGCCATGGTTTTCTTGTCTGTAAAATGGACAGATGAGGGTTTATAACTTCATACATTCTTGTGAAAACTGAATGGAAATAAGTGAAAACTTGTGAAACTTGAGAATTGCTTAGTGATATCATAAATGTTCAATGAATTATCAGGGTTACAATAAACTCAAATTATTAAATTAGCAAGATGGTTAAGTTTTCTATTGTTCTGTCACTTTCAGTAAAACTTGTCTTCCTTTGCCTTCTTTTGAATCATCATGGTGGCTTGCAAATATCAGGAAATTTTCTCCTAGTTTCCCTCCCTCCCTGACTTCTGTTTTTATTCCTACCTGGAAAAATGTCTCAACATGTTGTCGGGGAGCATCTTCTTTGAGGACAGGATATGTGCATTTACCCATCATATCATATATTGCTTTCATTATATCAAGCATTTCCTGGAAAAAAAAGAGCCACACAAGTCTGTACACAAAGTATAAAGAATATAAGAAACTGACAGATTTTTTTCCAAAAATGTTTCAAATTTTTAAAATTCTTCTTTTATTCTTCATGAGAGGCCTTCTTGTTGTCCCAAAGGCAAAACCAACAAACAGCTTTTTGCCTTTTGCAGCAGAATCAGAATGTAAGAATCAATTTTGATTTAGTTGCAAAATGAATCAGATTTCAACCAATAAATGGGCATAGGAACTAAACAGACACTTCACAGAAGAGTAAATATGGTCAACAAATATATGAAAAAATATTCAACATCTCTGGCAATTAGAGAAATGCAAATTAAAACTACGCGGAGATTTCATCTCAGGCCAATCAGAATGGCAGTTTATCAGGAATACAAGTAACAATAAATGTTGGCGAGGATGTGGGGGAAAAGGTACACTCATACATTGCTGGTGGGACTACAAATAGGTGCAACCACTATGGAAAGCAGTATGGAGATTCCTCAGAAAACATGGAATGGAACCACCATTTGACCTAGTTATCCCACTCCTTGGTATATAGCCAAAGGATGTAAAATCAGCATACTGTTGTGATGCAGCCACATAATGTTCATTGCAACTGAGAATATCCAGGATTCAGGTAGTGTGTCCTTTTAACACCATTAGGTCTGGGAGTCTTCTATGAATAGCCTGCCTGGAAGTATGCTTGGAGAATCCACCATTGCATCAGTTTATTCTCATGAAACACAAGTCAGAGTACAATCCATATGATTGCAAAATTGCTTGTTTCCATATGGGTCATGTTTTATAAGAAGAAAAGGGTTACTGGCCAAGTATTCTCCCATGGTTTGGACACATCTCTTCCCATCTGATTCTGAGCACAGTATTTATTCAATTCCCAGTATGTATTAAAAATGCCTATAGTATCTGGGCATGCCTATAATCCCAGCAGCTCAGGAGGGTGAGCCAGGAGGATCTCAAATTAAGAGCCAGACTCAGCAACTTAGTGAGACTCTAAGCAACTTAGTGAGGCTCTGTCTCAAAAAATAAAAAGGGCTACTACAGTTGTGGTTCAGTGATTAATTAGCCATTGGGTTTAATCCCTTGTACCAAAAGATAATAACAACTACAATAATAACTGCCTGTAGGAAATAAAGGTATAATCTTATATATTTTCTTTGGAGATTGATCCTAAACTAGTCCTACCCATTTAAAATTTTTTAATTAGAATACATCTCTCTTCTATCACCACATACTTTGGATTTCCTGAAAAAAAAATTTAAATTAATAATTGCAATTGTTCAACATTTTGAAGAAATGAAAATGGTCCAGAGGAGAGCTGTGTTGGTGACATTTCTCTTACCTCTTTAGTGATGTAGCCATCTTTATTTATGTCATACAAATTAAATGCCCAGTTGAGTTTTTCCTGTACTGTCCCTCGGAGTAAAATGGAAAGACCTTTGATGAAATCCTAAAAAGAAACAAAAATACAATTTAGAACTCTGATAAAGTTCTCTCTCAATTAATGGATGCAAAGTTAACAACCCTCTGGATTTTGAACAATCTATTTAGCAAAATGACTGAAGTGTTTTTATTTGTCTCTTGTAGATCTTTGCAGGAATAAAGCTCTCCCAATTCTTAGCATTCTCATAAGGAAACTGAGTGTGATATTGGCTTTCTACTACAAGTGAATATACTTTACCAGAAAGATTCTGTTTTTATTTTATTTTTAGGGGATGCTGGGGGTCGAACTCAGAGACACTCAACCACTGAACCACATCCCCAGTTCTATTTTGTATTTTATTTAGACACAGCATCTCACTGAATTGCTTGGTACCTTGCCCTTGCTGAGGCTGGCTTTGAATTCACAATCATCCTGTCTTAGCCTCCCAAGCTGCTGAGATTACAGGCATGTACCACTCCACCCAGCAAGATCCTCTTTTTAAAATACAAGCATGCACATAATATACTTACAGTAAAAGATAGCCACTAACAATAAATGTGGTATTTCCATAAGCAGCAGACTGATCAGACTCGTTAACTAGAAATCAAGTTATCACATGTGGGCAGTGGCTAAGAGCTTGAGCTGGAAGCCAGACAACCTGGACAATATGCTTATTCTACTTCCTGTCTTCATTCAGGATAGAATGTAGGGTGAGAGGAAAAGAGGATTCAAGGAAGGCCACAAAAAAAAGTCTTAATATTTTATAAACAGGGAAAAGAAGAGACTGGAAAAGCATCTTAAAAAGCAGTTGATAAAGGAGAAAGAGGGTTTTTCCTATAAGGGACTGTTCGTCTTGATCCAGGCTGCTGCTGAGGACAGAACAGTGTTCCCTGGACCAGAGGTCACCACAGAGGTCACCACAGACTAATGGGAAAATTTTCAATGGAGAAGAGGGAGACAAGAATGGTTTCTAATAATGAGCATATTGATTACTGATAGGAAGAACCTTAAAAACAAGAGTAAGAAATGGGCTGACAGTCTAAATAGGTGGGAGGGCTCCAGAATGCAGGTGGATGGAGTGAAAGGAGGAGGCTCTTTCCCTTAGCTGGCACAGGAGGTTGAAGGGGAACATGGCACAGATGCCAGTATCTGCTTCACAGGGGAGAAGATGAGTGAATTTCCATATTACAGTTTTGTGTGGGCATCAGCTGCTTGGGAATGGAGGGCATATAGCAAAGGTAAAAAGCAAAGGTTTAAGGAGAAAGAAGAATGTTCTGCTGCTAGATAAGGAGGTGATTTGTACAAATTAAAGGAAGGTAGGATGTTATGGTTAATGCATATGTTCCTGTGTTAATTCAGGAATATTCAGAAGTGAAATGATTCAGTTATAATAACCTAATCTGTCCATTCTAGTTTGAGTGGACTGACTGGGTGGTAACTGTAGGCGGGTGGAGTATTACTTGAGTAGGTGGGTCACTGGGGGCATGCCCTGGAAGGGTTCACCTTCCCTGCAACCCCTTCCCCTTGCTCTCTGCTTCCTGTTCACCAGGAACAGAGAAACTTCCATCCACCACAGCCTTCCACCACGATGTTCTGCATAACCTTAGGCCCAGAACAATGGAGTTGACTGACCATGGACTAAATTTTGAAACCTTGAGCCAAAATAAACTTTCTCTCCACTAAGTTTTACTTTACAGGTATTTTGATTGCAATGATGTAAAGTTAATGCTGTGGACCTTCCTCAAAATATTTTCTTTCTCCTGGAAATGAAATATTTAATATACCGTAACTAAGAAACAATGACACCCCTTGAGTTCTGCACTATACAACTTGTACAACTGTAAGCTTTGGCTTTTTAAGAAGTTGTACCATAGTCCTTGCAGAGCATAGGAAAATAGCATTATTAAAAGGTGAATACATGACTGAAGTGCTAGAAGAGGTCGTCAGCTCAGTGTAAAATCATACATTTCTTTAAATCATGAAGCAATAGTTACATGTCATTAGTTGAAATGGAGAGCAGGATACAAGGTCTTTGAAAACATGCTTAATGCAATGGCTCTCAAAATTTAGCATGCAGAAGAGTCGAGGGCTTGCTACCACACAGCTGGCTGGGCTTCCACATCCAGAGATTCTGATTCACCAAGTTGGGGCTGTGCCCATGAATTTACATGTCAAACAAGTTCCAAGAGGTTGCCTATTCTGCTGGTCTAGGGAACACAGTTTAGAACCATTGGCTTATAGGATTCATTGTTGGCATTGGCTTCACAACCAAACAAAACACCTGGGAGTCACAGTGAGAAATTTAAAGATAGTTCTTTTAAACTGGGTGTGAGGCCACATGCATTTAATAGACGTGACTAGGGAGGCTGAAGCAAGAGGATCACAAGTTTGAGGCCAGCCTCAGAACTTAAAGAGGTCCTAAACAACTTAGCAAGTCCCTGTCTTAAAATTAAAAAAAAAAAATTAAAAAGTGTTGAGGATGGAGCTCAGTGACACATTGCCCCTGGCTTCAATCCCTAGTCCAAAAAAAAAAAAAAAAAAAAAAAGGATAGCCTTTTTAGCATAGGTGTGATCTTCTAATGTTCGCCTGCCTAGCAGGCCTCTCATCCTTACTGGTGCTCCATCAGCTCTGTGGAGGCTCATGCCATCCCTGGCTCTAGTGACAGAACATGACCTAGGCAAAACCCGGAAACTCACTTCATCTATTTGGGTAAGATAATTAGAATTGTGGTTGGTACATGATTGAACCTAGTCCAAGTGAAAGCAATTCTCAGAACTTTTGGAGTCCTGCTAGGACTAAGAGGACACAGATGTTTTTTTCTTTCTTGTGCTTCAGGAGCAATTAATCATGGAGACCAAAGACTGCAGATAATCTTCTTGCAACTATACAGGGGCTCACCCTGAGGATACAGCCAGCCCTATCTTTGATCTTATCCTTCCTGTGAGCCAATAACATTGTTACAATACTTTTGTCAGTTGGTATATGATTTTCTAATATTTGTGAACAAAAGTAAGCTGATTCCCATTCTGACATCCAACTCACACCTTCCTCTTAAATACTACAAACCCTGAAACTTCTTAAAGGATCACTATGATCTTTGAGAACCCCTCCTTTGATCTCACATAATGATATCAATGATGCAGTTATTTCAGTTCAGGTGTTTTTGTATTTTGTTTTTTGTTGTTGTTGTCATTGTTGTTTTGGTGGTTCTGGGGATTGAACCCAGGGCCTCACATGTGTCTGGCAAGCACACTACCACTATGCCTCACCCCAAGTCCCTACATAGTTATCTAAAAAGAGGAATGAATGAATATCTTTGATTGTTGAAAACAAAAACCAGGATTTGTCTTATCAGGGTTTTGTCCGTGCTTTTCTGAATGGGGATTGAAATGTCTCAGGCAGGAAGTGGCAAACTCAAAATGACAACAACAAAAACCTCTTCAAAAATACTGTGCATGTTTACTTTTATCTGTGTAAGAAGGTTGTATCTGTTCCTTCATGTATACAAATGATAAGGCAGTGAGAGAACTATACTGAATTCTAGTTTCCATTCTCTTATAAGGCAAAAGGAGAAAAAGGTATAGAGGTCTGATTCTTATAACAAACTGCTCTTGTCTAGCATTGACCTTCATGCGTCTGCTAAGGCTTTACAGAATGTCTCCTGAATCTCCACTTGTCAATCAAAGCCCACCATGACTGAGAATGATGCATTTGGGGACAGTTGCAACAAAGTGCACATGAGAACACTCTTAGTCACTCGCCAAAGGTTAGAAGGGTTAACTAGTTAGGCAGTGAGACTCTGAAGAGTGTTCATTCATGTGTTCAGTACATTTCTTATTTTATGCTTGCTTTCATAGTTTCACAAAGCAATTTAAGGTTGTTTATTTTCCCTAGCATGACCTCTCTGAATAGGTCAAACTTCCATAGTGGTTGAGTTACTATTGAAAATATTTGAAAGATAAAATTTCAGGTATTTATTACCTAAAGTTTGCATTTACTTGACACTAAAAAATATATCAACATGTCTAAAAAAAACAGGAAATATGCTTACAAGATTTGTGGCTTAACTTTACCACATAAAAGAGCTAATTTCCTTATACTTATTGAAATACAATAATGTCTACTTAGATATTGTCTTGGAAGATGATTATAGTCACACTCAGTTAAACTAGAAGGAAGTTCTCAGATTTAATATCACTGGTGGCTTTTTAAAAATTGATGAATTTAAAATAATATTCATAAATGCAAATAAAAAATAAACATGTATAAAAATATAATACTTGATCTTATAAAGAAAACTGTACTGGAGAAGCATTTACTCACATACAATCCCAATACCTATTTGCATTTAACATTTCCATTTTGTCTTTCTCATGTATATCTAAGCATATATTTACAGTAAATGTCACATATATAAATAACATGTAATAGTAATGTATACATATAAAATAATTATTATATATAGAGAGAGTTCCATATTTTTTACTTAACATTACAAGCTTTTACTACACAATTAAAAATTCATTATGACATTATTTGAAGAACCTTATCTTAGGATGAACTACATGAAGTTGCTTGTATTTGAATATTTTACATGGTTTAATCTAATAATGCAATTATATGAATTTTGAACATTTTGAACTAGAACCCACCACACACACACACACACACACACACACACACCACACTAAATGTGTGCACATGCATATAAACACAATAATACACCAGAAACTAAAGTTATTACTCAGATATTCCCTTTTAATTTTTCTTCTATTATTTTTTAAAATGTTGTAGACTAATCCCTAACTTTAGTTTCTACTAATAGCTGCAATTTGAAATTTGCAACATTGCTTGGTTATATGGATATATCACAATTTATTTCACAATTACTTCCATTGCTGAATACCTAGATTTCAAATTTTCTTTACTATAAATGACACTGCACTAAACATTCTTCTCTATTTCCTGTCATTTTTGACTGACTTTCTTAGGAAAGAAGTGGAATTAGTAGGTGAGAAGCCCAGCA